GTACGAACCCTTTGTATGAACAAAAGTAAGAGAAATTTAGGATAAAAATACAAACATGTTCTTGCATGAGGCCCATTGTTTGGTTCTCCGTTCTGGCTTCCCTGCGTACTTCAGTTTTTGTTTCTTGTTTTGCCAGCCTTCAATTTAAATAAATCTTTTAGTTTAATTGAGCCTGCCTAGTTGCCTGCATTTGGGTCCGTTCCTGCCTACCAGACCTAATGGAATGATMGGATCAACGGAGGACCCAGCAGACATTTGTCTCATCAAATATATTTTTATCAACATTTTGGCAACAAGAACACAATAAATCAGTTCCCATCCATCCCTTACCAGCACAAATCAGCACATCATATGATAGCCACACTGTCAAGATATATAAAATAAATACACCATGAAATGCTTCACATTATTAAGCAATGGCAGGTCTGTCGTTTCCAGTCTTTTGCTGTAGAAATTTTAACACAGGGTCCCATATCTTCTCAAACACCTTGATTTTGTCTTCATTGTAATATCTCAGTCTTTCCAGGTGCAGTATGTTTACTAGTTCTCCCAGCCATAGATCAAATGTAGGCACACAGTCCTTCTTCCAAAATTTCAAAATCAACCTTTTAGCAATCACCATACCAAATAAAACAGCCTTTTTCTCATACTTACTGGCTGATCGTAAAGCATTAGAGGCTCCAATAATGGCAAATGGGTTTGGGCATAATCATATCATGTGCAATTAATCGTCAGAAAAACATTAATGGATTATTTTTGGCACTTGACAATTAATACGATTAACGCCACCAGGCAGACTAACTGGACATTTCTCCAGTCAGTCCGCTTGATGCTCCTCTCCATTTTAAATATGACGAACATTTTTGAAAAAAGTGCTGCAATTTATTTATCATAGCTCTGGTTTTACATGGTCTCTCAACAAAATTTAAAATTTGATGTATAACATGAAGTCTGTTATTTTGACACAATTTGGAACAGATTTTTACAGAGACCAAATATTTCCCACTAAATTGTTCATGTGACCAGGACATGAGGGTGTCCAGGGACTCCAGAATAGTAATCGTCAAATTATTCATTAATGGCTAAATATCACAATTAATCCTGATTAATTTTTTTGCCCATATTGCCCAACCCTAATGGCAATAAGTGGTTCTGSGTCCCATTGTTTTCCAAAAGTTGTTGAAAAAAAGTGAAAAATTTCCTTCTGAAATAAGTGAAGCTGAACACATGACCAACGAGAGTGTGTCAAATTACCAGTAGCAGCTTTACAACGATTACAAATTGGAGATACATTTGTAAAGAAGGAGTTTAGTTTTTCTCTTGAGTATTCTATGTATTGTTTTGAACTGTATAAGATTATGTCTAACATTGACCGAACAGCCTCGTACATTTTTCAAACCCTCTTCCCACATTTCTTCTTGTATCTGCTGCCCTAACTCATCTACTCATGCTTTCTTTAATTTAGATATGTCAATGATCATATTATTAAAGATCTTTTAAAAATATGACACAGCCCTTGGATTGGTAAGATCAAATTTATTCATTGTTTCTAGGATTCTATGCTTATTTARCGTTCCAAAATCTGATATATTTTTCTTAACATAGTCCCGAACCTGTAGATAATGAAAAAAACTTGATGGGGGGGGGAATATATTTAGAACATAACTGTGCAAAAGATGCAAATGTTCCTTTAATACATAGGTCACCTATCACGCAAATGCCTTTCGCCTTCCACATTCGAAAGACAGCGTCGCTTAGACTTGGCGCGAAAGAATGTTTTTCACAAATTGGAGTGTCAAGGTAAATTTTTGGCGCTTTTATAAATTTTTGTATCTGCTTCCTAATTCTGATAGTGTTGCCTATGACAAAACAATTAGTATAAAGTAATTTATTGACTTTAATGGGACTGTTAAGAAGTGCTGTCAGGGACATATTACAGCAATGCAGGCGCTCCAAGGACAACCAGGCAGGACAGGACCCATCTGATGTGGGTGGACCCGTCCTCCACCATACCAGGATGGATAAATGTGAAGCCCAATAATATTGTTTGAAATCTGGTAAGGAGAACCCACCGTTCATCCCCGGTTTACATAACTCTTTTGGAGATTCTGACACTTTTATATCCCCATATAAATGGAGTAAGAATAGAGTCCAATTGTTTGAAACAGGATGCAYTTATAAAACATGGAAGAGATTGAAATAAATGAAGAAATCTCGGTAGCACCACCATTTTAATGGCATTGATCTTACCAGCCATGGATAGAGGGAGGGTCCTCCAAAACTCAATATTCTGTTTAAGCTGTGTAGAACTTTGTTATGCCAATTCAGTTGGAGGCGTTCTGGGTTTTTTGTTGTTGTTACRCCCACATATGTGAAAGCATCATGAGTTATCTTAAATGGTGTGGACTTTAAATAAGCCGGATCAGTGCTTGTAGTGGGGGCATTAATTCACTCTTGCTCCAATTAAAACCAGAAAAGCTACCAAAATTGCTGATCGTTGTTAAAAGGGGAGACAGCGACGTCTGTGGGTTAGAAATATACAGAAGTATATCATCAGCATAAAGTGAAATATGATGTTTATTATTAAACATCTTTATAGGAGATATTAKGG